AAACAAAAGGGAAAACCTTGGAGGAGATTGAAAAGGTGTTCCAAGATGAGGGAGATGGCGAATGGCAAAGAAACGAGGTTGAAATGGGAGACGTAGAGAGGCTGGTTCAGAAGTCATGAGTTATATGAACATATAAATATAATATATATACGGGTAACATGCATACTGTCAAGTTGGTGGCTGGCCATATTCTTGTGTGAGCGGAGATTTCTGCTTTTGATTCATAAAGGGTATGTTCTGTTGCTGCAGCATCCAGGACCTGGGGAACAAGACTTGCAGTTGCTAACAAAACAAAGAGGAGAAATTTTACTATGTGATGTTATTTCTTGTAGGAAGCCACCAATACGAGTCATTAAAATATTAGCTGAAGTAGATCTCAATGTGCATATGTATTAATATTGCTATGTAATTCTTTTCTTATTCTGTTGGGAGTTGAGTTCAGATTACATTGATTCATTTGTCAGAGTTATTTTATAATGGAAATTCTATTGTCTCTGTCTCTTGGGCTTGTTCTGGGACCATCGGTGGCATGGGCGTGGGCGTGGCATTGTCTCTGTCCCTAAGTTCTAGTGGTTTGATACTTGAGAGATCATTTGGTCATCGCTTTAATAATCAAGTGCATAATGGAACATGCTGATAGAACAAAGTCGTCCAAATTCTTGAAATAGAATGATTTTAGTTAATAAGTTTAAGATGAGTTGTTGAAAGAATATTAAGTTAACAATAAAAGTTTTGTGGGAAAAAAAAATCTTTTTTCAGCTTTTTCTTTGAATAGCTTATCAAAGTAAGCTTTTCCAATGCATTTTTCATGTGTTCTGTTTAAATTCTCATGGCAACAATGGGTTTAAAAAAAAAAAACAGAAAAATCCTAAACAAACTGGCCCTTATTCATGTGTTTTAAGATTATTGCCAACTGCCAACTTCTAATGGAGGATGTTCATATTCCTCATCTCAGGAAAAAATGAACTAATATCTAGGCTTCATGCGTTACATAAAATTTGCAGGTGTAAATGATACTACTGTTCTGTGAATAATGTGTGTAGATATAGTTCCCATCGTGTTTATTTACTATTTGTCTGTTTTAGTTGGTGTAATTTAAGTTGTGCGGTAATTTAGTTTGTCTTTTCTTGCTGTCTTGATCAGCTTTGTCTTGTAGTGGTTGTGTGAGTTGTGACGACTGTAAGTTTGTCTTGTAAGCAATTGTGGCTTGTTGGCCCAAAAAAAATCATATAAAAAATAGAGAAATGACGATGCCTTTGGATTGGAGGATGGACCTGATGTCCTGATTAACTCTAATGCTTCTCCATTTCCTTTTTTTTTTTCCCCCATGGGCAAAGAGGCAAAGAGTGCAGATTTTTTTGATCATCTAAATTTAGTTTAAATAGTTTAAATTTAATTATTGTTTTATAAATAAAAATAATATAAAATAAATATAATTTTAAACAAATATTTTAACGATAGTAATAATTTTTTTAAAAATAATTACATTATTTAAATTAGATCAAGATTTCGCGTCAGGGAGATATCACACCCAAATTAAAAAAACCCCAGCCAAAGCTTGACAACCACCATAAATGAACAAAAGATGAGCAAGGAGTTTGTGAGTGAACTAACGCCTAATTGTTGAAAGTAGGTTGAATCAACTGTTAGGGATATGACACTTTAAGGTTTGGAAATTGAAAAATATTAATTTTATAACTATTTAATAAAAATTAATTAACCAAAATATTCAGAAGCTAAGTTGTAAATTTTAAAAATTAAATTAAAAATTTCAGGACGTTCAGTTTGTCACATGCTAAATTAGAAAAAATAATGTAAACAAATAAAAAGTGCAAAAAATGGTTCAATTAAAAAGTGATTTTTTTTTTTGCCATAGTTAAAAAGTGATACTAGTACTTTGGATGTCTCTCTAAATCAACATGAAGCTCACTGTGAAGGACAGAGAGATGCCTACAATGATTAAACCTTGTCACCATGTGATGCAATTAATGCCACCATGACCCAGAAAAAGAAAGGGGAGCAAATTGAAGTCACAGACAAAAATAGTTCAATGACTTCATTATTCCATGTTTCACTACCTTGTTGGAATTAATCCACAACTGGTTTCATTGTCTTTTCCTTTGACCCACTCATGGAAGTTTTTGCCAGAAACACAATGAACTTATGATTTGAATACCCCTCAAACAGGGGAACAGAATGAAGCAGAGTGAACAGTAAGCAGAAAATACTTGCAATGTCCTTGAAAAATAAATCTGAGAGCAATGATCAGTTTATCAAAGCAAGTGAACTGGGAGAACATTTTGCATCCTAAGGATTTATTAAGACAGACTCTGCAATAAGCTTTTGTGAAGCAGCTATTTAAAGTAGAGTTAAAAAACTTTCACCACTGGGCCAAAATCTTCAATGTCCGGACCCGTAGGTCAATAAATCTTGACAAAAAAAAATGAGTTTGTTGTCACATGCATGGGAGAAAGTAGGTGATCTATTCAGATAGGAAGCTGAGAGATCACTCTCACGACTTAATAGTCACAATCATGATAAGCCTTTTCCATTCCCTTCTGGAATTAAAAATCAGTCAATCTAATCCCACTTTCCAGATTCAAAACGTAATCAAAATCCAGACATGAAGGAAATAACATAAATTTTTTACCTCTTTCTTTCCAGATTCTGAAAGACATACAATAAGCCCTATGATTTCAAACTATATTTTTTTTCCTATAGTGGAATGAACCCAGTCACAATCAGTCCATATCCACTTACAATAAAGACAGTACAGAAAAGTTTTATAGGAATGACGATTCTATATAACCCTTTAGGTAGCTACAAACTTGAACTATGAGTTGCAGAAAATGCAACTCCTTGATATGATACTATCAACAATGCTTCCTTTTTCCACCTCAAGTTTCCCACTCCTCTTGTTCCACAAGTGCACAGCAAAACTTTCCTTGTTAATTTGTTCAAGTTTCTTCACCAGCCATTTTGATTGGAGTTCATCTCTGGGTCTCTGAAACAGATGAGCAATACTTCTCCAGTCCACAGGATAAAATGCAGATGGTGGCATAACAGTGAAGTTAAATCCTGGTCTTCCACTCACCCTAGAGACCACTCTTGAGACTAGGTAAGGACCGTTGTGACCCCACTTGTTCCCATCAAATGTGAGTGCAAATTCTTCAATGAACTTGGAAAGTAATGGATGCTTTTTATCAAATATCAGCAAAGCATTGTTCAGTCTGCTCCATTTCCCAGTTTTTGCATCCAAGTTCTGTGCTCCAATGGTGTTTCTCAGTTTAGAGAAACTCTTCAATACTATAACATCTGCGTCCATGTAAATGCCTCCAAACTTGTACAAAAGAGCAAGCCTAATCAAGTTTGAGAGGTTTTGGCCTAAAGAGATTTCACCTGGATTCACATTGCCTTCCTTCAAACGATTGTACCATGACTCTGCATGAGTGTCTTTGAATATACAATCAAAATCTGGGGCAACTGCTGTTACTCTGAACCCATTAGTCAAAAATGGCTTCAGGATTTGAGAGCCTCCATGGGAGTCCAGTGATTTGGATACTATCACCAAGCAAGCTTTTGGGTGAGACTTGAACAAGCTTTCCATGGCTGAAAACTGTATGTCACCAAATGATTCTAATGACGCAATCCAAGTCATGAAGAACCTGATCTTACAGGATGATGACGAGGAAGAGGAAGAAGAATTCTTCCCAGCAAAGAATACTTTGATTCTGGTCTGAAACCACGAGACCTGACCTTCTGAGCGCAAACTTCTTAGGCCCCTCTTGTGTCTCCTGGCTCGTCTCGACCTGTGGAAGAGAAATTTCTCGGCAGTTGTCGCGGGAAATGACGAATTTTGCAAGATGGGCAAATGAATCTTCGAGAAAGTCGCAGATGAATCCTTGTTGATGGCAAACAGCACAGAAGAAGACAGCTTCAACTGGGAAGAAGAAGAAGAAGACCATTTCCGAACTGATTCTTCCCTGGCGTCACTCACAGGCGAGAAAACAATGGGTTTCGACAGCGGTTTAGCCAAGAAAGGGACATGAACCCAGAAAACTGTGAAACCATTGTAAGCCAAGAGGAAGAGAAGAAGAAAAGCGAAACAGTAAGTGGGGAAGCAGAAGAATATAGCAAGCACGGATCTTTTCAAGTCCTGAACTTGGTGAAGGAGAAGAAGAAAGGGTAAGTGAAACTGAGTTGGTGGTTTCGTGGTGCTCTCAGTCATGGCCTTTGGGCTGGTTTTGGGTTAAACAGACTATTCAAAAAGTTTCAACTTTCAACTTTTGATTTTGAAAGCAGTCCGGAGAGAAAGGAGGAGAGCATTCTAATGGCGGTAGCGGGAGAAAGGATCATAAAATAAGAGTATTAATTGGGTATTGAGTTTTAGGACCTTGGGAACCAAAAAACGTATAAAGCGGAGATATTGAAGGGCCTGCTCGGGAGTGAGAGTGAGAAACCTTCAGAAAGGAACAGCGCGGACGGGCCTCCTGGTTCACGTTGGATGGCTGTCTTACCGTCTCCTTCCAATTTTTTATAATACGAAATTATTTAATTCAAACACACTATCAATAAAATAATTTTAACTAATTTATGTTTTACAATTTTTTCCATCTTTCCCCTTCTATCTTTAATTAATACTCCTAATTTCTCAATGATAATGTTATATCAGAAAATAGAAGATGCCTAAGAATTATTAAGAATTGTAATATTATGGTAAGCTTGGTGGACGAGCCAAATTTACTTGGGTCAAGTCTTTTTTATTCTTCAATTATGAATATTTTAAAAAATTACTATGTACTCCTAAAATTTTATAAATTATCTCATATATAAAAAGACTATGCCCTCCATTTTTATTTATAATTAATAAATGAACAATATATAATATAAAAGTTATAAAAAAATACCATATCCTATTAGAAGTTATATTTTTTTTCTGACCGTACTGTAAACAATATCCTTTTAATGATATCACAGAAATCAAACAAATTAATTAATTAATCTTATTTACCCTCTAACTCATTTTCTGTTATCAACACTTATATTAATGCCTTGTATTTGTTTTGCCATATTTATTAAAATTTGTAATTTGGCTTATTTTTTAAAAACCTAAATAATGATATTCAGATTAATCTTATTTACCCCATAATTTCTTGCAAAAAATTTTGTTCAACCGTACCCGTCAATTTTTGTAAAAGGTAGGCAAAATATGGTAAAAGATCACGAAATATGCGAGTACTTGCTAATTTTTTATTATAATATTTTCTTATTAATTCTTAATTAAATTTAAAATGTGTAATTTACCCATCTGAAAAAGAATTTAGAATTACGAATTTACGATCTGACAGTGCACACAATAACTGCTGGCATGAAAATACAAAATACTACTGACATGCTCAACTTGACTGGGACCAAATAATTGACTCGAGCCCGACGACAAATAATTATGGGACGAAACAAGAGACTGACGTAATAATGCTAGAGTTAATTATATTTTATAATCATCCTAAAATATGATTTGATTTTAAAATATTAAAAACAAAAGACATCAAATTCACAAATGCTGACATAATTTTTTTTTGAAAAATAAGTTTTTTTTACTGAGAAATAATAACCAGTAATAAAATAACATAAGCAGTAGATTTTTGCAACTTTCATGCAATACATGGAAAAATATAACAAATTATTGATTGAATTGAATCGATCAGACTTTTTATATTGAAAAAAGGATGAAAGAACCATTTTCACTCTGCCTTCGTCAATTTTGATGAGAAAAATGCTCATCTTAGAGCTTTGATGACAAAAAAAAGAAAAAAGAAAAAAAAATGCAAGATATCAACTTTACAAATTTTAAAACGAAAAACGTAATTTACAACTAAACCACCTCGAAATTATGTCTATATAAAAAAGGATTAAAGAACCATTTTAATTCTGCCTTCGTCGATCTTGATGAGAAAAATACTCATCTTAGGGCTTTGGTGACAAAAAATAAGAATGCAAGATATCAAATTTGCACATTTTAAAATGAACAGCCTAATTTACAACTAAACCATCTCGAAATTATATCTATACATATTACCTCCAGTCCTTAATATAAGAACTAGTTAATTAATTTGAATAGATTAAAAAAATTTGTTAAGTTAATTATTTGTAATAAATAGGTGTTATTTTTCTTAAAATACCCCTGCTAATCATATATATATATATTAACTAAAACTATCATTTGATTGGATCTTTAACATGTTTAACTACCATAAGGATTACCTAAAAAAAAAAGATAAATATTAGAGATAAACCGGACTGAGGTTTTATATTTCAGACTAAATTGAAAATCAAACTTACTCTTATATTAAAAATTAGAAGTAGTATATATTTTAAATTACTTACAAGCATCCCATCTCTTTTTTTTGGGAAATGTTTCTTTCTCGATCTTCTACTTAGAGCAAACTAATCTGTTTAAAATGACTTATAAATAGTTTTTCAATCAAAATTTATAAAACATAAAATAAGTACATAAAAAAAATTTGTCTAAATTTACATAAAACATACTTGTAAATTTTTATTTAAGTAATTCCAAAAAGACTACCGGTTTTCTTTCTCCGCGACCAAAGCCACGGGATAGATGAAAGCCTTCAACTTTCCTAATGGAATGGTCCATCCAAGAACCGCTCCAGTTTTCCCAGGAGCTGTTAGACTTTCCCTGTCGGGTATTGGTTCAGTTATTAATTTACAATGAAGCTCCACCGAAAATTGTTGCTTTGGATTCAAATGTCACACCATCTTAGAATTTTACCGTTGAGGAGCTCCATAATAAGTCTGGCGCTTTTGGAATGCTTTAGCATTTACAAAATTAAAGAAATAGCAACCGCTCTCAACATCCCTGAACCAGAAAATGGAAGGCTTGAGTCACAGCACACGGTCCAGTACAGAGGAAATATGAACTAACAGAATTTGCAAGACAACTTCCTCTGAGACCTAACATTTTTGCTTTTATCTTAGTCTTATTCCAATTCCAAGCATCGAATAACGAATTACGGTAAGAATTACAGGCATATATCTACTCCAACGGTCTCCATTTAAATATTTTACGTGTGAGGAAAAAGAATGAAAACACGATGAACACACAAAAAGGATTTAAGATATCATAGGACAAGTCATACAGAATCAGCATAAACCGGTTTCCGCCTATCTTTCTTTCGCCAACAAAACAGAGTCCATATTAATAATACAGTTGCCTCATTTACCATAACCAGCATGATATGACTGGGAGCAGCAACACACTTCATAGGAGTCCCCTTCTTCTCTTGTAATCACTAACAGTCAATGTCAATGCATGCCTCCTGCCATCATTTTCTGGGACTCGAAATCCCACCGTTGCTTCTATTCTTTGCTTCCTTCCCATGAAACCAGCCTGAGCTCCCTGGGCTCCACCAAACTTCTGAAGTATTGCTAATGAAATTGGCAACTCAAAATTGTGCAGCACATTTGACTCGGTCCCTTGATCCACTGGAGCACTTGTATCTACTAGCTTGCCAGCACCAGCAGCTGCTTCCAGAGCTGCAGCAGTAGCCACCATACCGGCCTCCGAAGTTGCTCCTGTGCCATTGATGCCTGCACCAACCACTGGGCCATTGGCATTATTATTTCCAGCTTCACCAGGTTTTGAAGCATAGTAGTTCCTTGATCGAGTCCATCTCCTTGAAAATGGATCATAACCTGCCTCCCCAGCTTTCAAGACTGCACTGAGTGGCCTCAATTCAGAAGCATTTTTAAAATTCTCAAACCTGTTCTTTCTGTTCATCTCAGCCAGCTTCAATGCCTTGGCATCCTTCTCCTTTGCTTGTCTGACTGCCTCTAATTCTAATAGTCTTGCCTTGATTCTCTCGACTTCTGCCTCATTGTTCTTACTCTGTGCTATCTCCAATTCCCTCCTCAGTCGATCTTTCTCAGCTGCAATATTTAATGGCCTTGATGAAGAAGATTTTTTCTCCTGTAACATCTGTTTGACAGTAGCTGCAGAGTATACAAATGTGTTAATCTTTTGGATAGCTTGTTTTTTGTCCAACACATCTTGTTTGCTTGGCATCCTGCCACCACTTCGCTCTACTTCTTTAACCCATTGTTTGAATTCTTCCTCAATTGGTGCAGAGTCGCTAACCATAGCCATTTGCCACCTAGCAGCAGAATTTTCATTTCCCCAAGTAACATTTAGGTACTTGTATGTAGTTTTATTCTCTAGTCTATATTGCCGCTCAGGTTCTGTGGCATCAACATTTTTCACCATGCAAAGGCGGTAGATCGGGCCAGACTTCGATCTACCAATACCAACTCTTACGAAGCAACCAACAATTAAATCTTCAAAGAAAGGCTCCATAAACCATTTAGCTAGTTTTGACCTGCGAATTGTAATTTCTCTAATATCCTCAAATATTGGCCCATCAGACATTGCCCTATCATCATCACTGTCACCAATCCCTCCATCCCCAGTTGAACCTTCATCATCACTATGAGACCTACTTTCACTCTCACTATGGCTTGAACTACTAAGGCTTGTTGAAGTAAAAGGCTTGCCCTTCGGTGAAAAATGCCGAGACCCTGAACCTCTGGATGCCTCTCTCAGTCTACGGTGGGCTTCTGGATCTTGCTGTTTCAACCTCTTTGCTCGCAATTCATTTAGCGCATCATCCTTAGCAGCTGACCTGTCAGCAGATCTGGCTGATGAACGCACACGAGATGATGGAAGAGGAGGAGTTTGTTTTCTGGGCACGCTTGTCTTTCCTTTCTCACGCTTTGATGCTATCTTCCCCAACAAATTTTTATCATCCTTTTTGCTTGCCCTATCAGACAAGATCATCTCTCTTTGAAGTTCAGTCATTTCAGAGAGCTTCCGCCGGTCATCTTCGTTTTTATATAGATCATCACCAATGTCAGATTCATCACTGCTATCACCCTCGTGATGGGAATGACCATCATCCCCATCCCCTTCTTGACTAACCTGATCATCATCTCTTTCTGTTGAATCTAATCTCTTCTTTAAAGGAACTTGAGATCCAGAGGGCTTTCTGCTTGCAAAGTTAAGATCATCATCTGAATCATCATCCCTAGAATCACTCCCACCATCTGAATATGAGCCATCATGTTGCCTCCTCGAAGAAGGTAGAGACTGGCGATTTCTCCCCGTCCCAGTTCTTCCCGCAGCTTCCAAAAGTAAATTTTCTAAATCTGCCATAATAGTCCCCCTTCAGCGTTTGAATTCAAACTGATCCTACCTGCATATAAACCAAGGTATTAATTGCTGTCACATAAGCCACAAAACAGCTTTAGAGCCATGAAAGCATATACAAAGTAATTAGATGTATACATGCAAGCTTGGTAACAATATCAAGAGTTGACAACTACAGATGAATACGATCAACTCAGCTATGTGGGTGTCAATTAACAATGGCGGGGAGATGGGGTTGTGGCTGAGGTCTTAGGACCTCTTTGGTTGGGCGAAACGGCAATCAGACTCCTGTTGGCTGCACAAAGGGGGAGAACAGAGCAGCAGCTAGGGAAGAAGGTTCAAGCGGAAAGAGATGTTTCCTGCCAGGGGCGGAGGAATAGCTTGGTCCAGAAAGGCAGAGGGAGATAAAACTACCGAACTACCCATGAAGAAGCAGAACGGGTTGATAAAGAGGCATTTGCGCCGGATTTGGGCAGAAGAAGTTGAACAGATGAAAAATTTACTTGCACACAGCGGAGCATCAGTAATTCGCCCCCCCTCCCCAGCCCCAACCCCAACCCAACTCAAACGAAATACTTCGCTGCGCACATGTAATAACCGAAGAGGACAACTATAATCGCATCGACTGGAGGGATGAAAAGAGATTTATATGTAATCCTAACCTTGAAGGCAAAAGTCTCGCTCTCCAACGGACTCTAGACCAAGAGATTTCTGTCGCCTTTGTCTCCGCTGTGACCTCCGGCGCCGATTCCCTCTTATCCGTCGAGTCTCAGCCGACGGCCACGTTGCAGCACCGAGCTCTCTCACCCTGGATTTCCCTAGTCGTTCTCGCCCAAAAATTGGCCCCAGCCACCGATTTTCTCTAACCTCCGGCACCGCTGTCGCAGTCGGTAAGGAATCCCTCTTCTCCGTCAATCCCTCAGTCACCGACGACACGTGCTGGCCCCAAAACCATCGACCCAGCCAAGCCGCCAAGCCCTCGTAGATTCTGATCCAACCTAATGGTACTTCACATCGTGAGGAAGAGATGTCAAGATGTGGGAGCCTGGCAGGCACCTCGCAGTTTACTTGATTTTTTTTTTTTTAAATAACCAAATTCAACTTTAAATTTTACTCCGGAGTAAACTGTAACATATTTTCCTGAAATTTACAAACTAAAAATTTATACTTTATTAATGACAGCCGAATCAGGTAATTAATTATTCAACAAATATACCATCAAAGTCATATTTTAGGTAGATCACTATTTTTTGAAAAATAGATTTTTATATGTATTTTAAAATTCAATTATATTAATTTAACTTAATATAGTTATTCAACAATTAATTTTGGGAAAATGACAATAAAATACCACCTGAATTCCAAAAAGACAAATAAGGGACCTGAATAAGCAAAATGACATATAGGGGACTGGGTACCAATCTGGAATTCAGATTTTTGGTCAAAAGACCAAAATGCCCTGTCTGAAAGTGAGAGAAAGGAGAGAGGAAGAAAGCGACGCAGTGAGAGAAAGGAGAGAGGAAGACCGACGGTGATGAAATGCGGGAAGAAGGAAAGAAGAATGTTGGAAATGCTATTATCTTACTCCTTCGCATCACCATTCTGTAGAGATTGTTGATTTGGTGGGTTTTGGTTGTGGGAAAGAGGATTTGTAGTGAGAGAGGGAGTGAACCTGCGGGGAAGATGAAGTGGAAATCAGAAAACAAAGACAAGCAATTACGTTACGTAACTGCTGTTATATGCCTGCTGGTTTTTGGTAAATCCCACTACGTGAATGGTAAATCCCACTATGTGAATGGTAAATTTTACTATACATGTAGTTAATTATGAATTTTACAAAATACATATTGTGATTTACAACTTTTGTAGTGAAAGTGACTACTTTGTTAATGGGTTTTGCAACCTGTTTTCAGGAGATAAATAACTTGTTTGTAAAAACTAATAAAATTTCACGCTAAATTTGACAAAACGTATAGTGGGATTTACAACTTCCGTAGTAAAAATGACCACTTATTCAATGGGTTTTGTAACTTGTTTTCAGGAGATGGGTAGCTTGTTTCTAAAAACTAATAAAATTTCATACTAAATTTGACAAAACACATAGTGAGATTTACAACTTTCGTAGTGAAAATGATCACTTCTTCAATGGGTTTTGTAACATGTTTTCAAGGGATTGACAACTTGTTTCTAAAAACCAATAAAATTCTATGCTGAATTTTACAAAACATAGAGTAATATTTACAACTTTTGTAGTGAAAATTACCACTTCTTAAATGAATTTTGCAACTTCTTTTCAGGGGATGAGCAACTTGTTTCTAAAAATCAATAAAATTTCACGCTGAATTTGACAAAACACATAGTGAGATTTACAACTTTCATAATGAAAATGATCACTTCTTCAATGGGTTTTGCAACATGTTTTCAAGGGATTGGCAACTTGTTTATAAAAACCAATAAAATTATATGTTGAATTTTACAAAACATGTAGTGAGATTTACAACTTTCTTAGTGAAAATGATCACTTCTTAAATGGGTTTTGCAACCTCTTTTTAGGGGATGAGCAACTTGTTTCTAAAAACCAATAAAATTTCACATTGAATTTTACAAAACACACAGTGAGATTTACAACTTTTATAGTGAAAATGACTACTTCTTAAATGGCTTTTGTAACCTGTTTTCAGGGGATAGGTAACTTGTTTCTAAAAACCAATAAAATTTCACGTTGAATTTTATAAAACATATGCTGGGATTTACAACTTTTGTGATAAAAGTGACCGCTTTGTTAATAGATTTTGCAATATATTTTCGGGGGATGAGTAACTTACTTTTCACCACCAATAAAATTTCACGCTGAATTTTACAAAACACATAATGAGATTTACAACTTTTATAGTGAAAGTGACCACTTCTTCAATGGGTTTTGTAAACCTGTTTTCACCGGAAGAGCAACTTGTAAGCATAAATAAATCATTCAGTGAACGTGCACCTGAAGTACATCACAATAAACATTGAACTATTAAGTTTCATAATTAACTACATGTATATTAAAATTTACCATTCACGGAATGGGATTTACCATTCACGGAATGGGATTTACCAAAAACCAGCAAACATATGACAGCAATTACATTACGTAATTGCTTGCGACTATTTTCTGATTTCTGCTTCATCATTCACCAAATACTGAATATGAACCCTCAAATGCAATAATCCTGTTCCTATTTCACCATGAAACAGCCACAAAAATGAATAATCCAAATCCCACCATCAACTTCTACTCACTCATGAATAATTCAAATACTTCAGCGACCTCTTCGACGACGACAATTTCATGGGTACAAGTTATTTCAGACAGGGCAATGTATTTCAGCGATGATAACCAAATTCAGCGATGGCAATCTACTCCTACGACGACGGCAACGTGATTTCGAAAAATCCTTTTTGGTGACTGCAGGAACTTGGATTTAGTTTCGTAGAAGGAAATCAGTTTCTCCCTTTCTCTATCGCATGAATACACTGCTCAATGTTCAGAGACAATCAGGGCAATTCGGTCTTTTGGCCGAAAATCTATATTCCAAATTGGTACCCAGTGCCCTATTTGTCATTTTGCTTATTCAGGTCCCTTATTTGTCTTTTTGGAATTCAGGTGGTATTTTATTGTCATTTTCCCATTAATTTTTATATATTCTAAATTGAATTTCAAAATTTTCATTAATTAGTTATCGCATTATTTTGATTTTTGGTGACTCTTTGTGCTTGGAACACTGAATGCTGCTGATAAGCAGATTTTTTAGTCCTAGCCGTCCAAGAGTTTCGGAGAAGATGGAATTGAATCAAATTCAGCACAAGTTCGTCAACTCTGGGGGCCTAAAACTCCACATAGCTGAAATCGGAGAGGGTCTGAATTCTCTACACCTCATCATCATCATCATCTTCTTCTTCTTCTTCTTGAATCAAACACCCATTTTCATTTTCGCTTGCAGGTCCTAACGTCGTCGTTTTCCTTCATGGATTCCCGGAGATATGGTACACCTGGCGCCACCAGATGATTGCCCTGGCCAATGCTGGATTCAGAGCGATTGCCCCCGATTACAGAGGCTACGGGCTTTCCGATCCACCACCCGAACCCGAAAAGGCGACCTTATCCGATTCACTGTCTACCTGGCAATTTCTCTTTGTGAGTTCTACTTGTAAACTGTTTTGAATGCAATTCCATGATCTCAATATCAATTGTGCACCTCTGATAAATTGAAAGATACATTTTTTTTTGGTCAAAAGAGTAAGAATAAAAGAAATATTAGAATGGAAGTACTAAGCACAGAGACATGCCTACTTGCAACTGATGAGAATGTATTGTGAGTCACTTGCCTAATAACCTAATTCTCTCTGTTTTTTGGCCAGCCTGATAACCTAATTCAAGAGCCCCAACTCTATATGTATTTGTAGGTTTTTCTGATAGGAAAAGATTTTGGAGCTACGCCTGCATATCTTTTTTCTATTCTGCATCCGGAAAGGGTCTTAGGAGTTGTCACGTTGGGGGTTCCTTTTGTGCCTCCAGGTCCTTCTGTGTAGGAGAAGTATCTTCCTGAAGGCTTCTATATCTTGAGATGGAGAGTAAGTTTCAATCCTTATTCATTCTTTCATACCCCATACACACACACACGCACTTACACACTTATTAGTTTGTTTCTGTCCATTCCAATTCATTTCAGGAGCCAGGAAGGGCAGAGGCTGATTTTGGACGCCTTGATGCAAAGACGGTTGTGCGAAAAGTTTACATTCTCTTCTCCAGAAGTGAGATCCCAATAGCTCAGCAGAACCAGGAGATCATGGATATGGTGGAGCCATCGGCTCCACTTCCCCCTTGGATCACAGAAGAAGATCTCGCAACATATGGAGATTTGTATGAGAAATCTGGATTTCAAACAGCTTTACAAGTTCCATACAGGTACTTGAGAGTGACTACTCTTGATATATCTGAAACTATGAAGCAAAAACACGATAAAATTTATAGCATCCATGTGTCAATCAAGAATCGTATTGGGTTTGACATATGTTTTTCTTCACAAGTCTATGTGCTACATATATTAAAGAGAGGACAAAAAAAGCATGAAATGTTAATATGAAAGAGCTCTTGATTTCGCAGCAGATCTCATCATGTACTCTTGCTTGTCTGGGAATTTCACATGTTAGTGGACTTTGCTTGGATCCTAAACATTGTGTGGTTACTCTTCTAATGCAAGAGTGGATTTGTTGTAAAAACTTTCTACCAGAAGTGGTGCAGAGTATGAATTTTTGCTTGTGACATTGGATTTGATTGGCATGATAGGTCATTTGGTGAAGAATTGAATTTAGCAGATCCAGTGGTAAAAGTTCCTGCGTTTCTGATAATGGGTGGCAAGGATTATGTGCTTAAATTTCCAGGGATTGAAGAGCTAGTGAAGAGTGAAAAGGCTAAAAAACTTGTTCCCAATTTGGAGATCACATTCATCCCTGAAGGAACCCACTTTGTTCATGAGCAATTCCCTGGACAAGTGAATCACCTTATCCTCTGCTTCCTTGGTAAGCAAATTTGATTTTGAATTGTAAATTATGAATTTGTTTTGTATGTGTTGTGTGAAATGACTTGTATGGATTTGAAATAAATAATCTCTTCTCTGCGTCTTTGTGGAAAATGACTTTTTTTCTTGGGGAGTTTCATCATGATCTTGCTCGATCAACTCTTGACAAATTAAATATTATTGCAGCTATATATCAATTTGTATGACAATTTTATGGCAAGTTATGAGACTTTGAGATTCTCATCTCAAAACATTGATCTCCAAGACCCCCCAAAAAAAAATTCAAACGAACCTATGCATGGCAAAGAACGATATCATAATGAAAAAGACGTGTGGAAAAGACAAGAAGATAGAAAATAGTGTTGGGTTATCCTTCTTGAACTATCGACATATTCCAAGGTCCTGTGTATGACTGAATAGCATGTGAAATAAAGCACCACTACTTGATAGTATAATGGTTCAAATCGATGGTCAAGCCAAAATGCCC